TAAAATGGAAATAATGTAATTTATTTATTCTTTCTGTGCGGCCCGGTATCAAATGACCCACGGACCGGTACCGGTCTGCGGACCGGGGGTTGGGGACCACTGGTCTAGTACACTGAGTCAGCTCAATACACTGATTAAGAAAATCACATAGTTCCAAGCGTACATAAACAGCCCAGTACAGATTCTCCAGCACAGAGGCGAGGGCTGAATTACTTTAAAATGGTTTCAAATACGTATACAGTATAGTATAGGAGTGTATTTCAATACTAATTAACATATAAGCACACACAGAGAGAATATTAGCAATAATGCTATTGCTATCAAAAAACCAGGGAAGGTGAACATCAAACAAATTACAAGGAAGTAGCATTGTAATTTTATCGAAATCTTTTATTGGTTCAGGGTTTTTACCTGTTTACCCATATTTATACAGGTTACTGAGAAAATCGATCATATCTTTTTCTTGTATGAACAAGAAATTTTTCTTCTTTTCTTTTGGTTATCAGATGCTCTTATCTAGAGCCACGTAGAAAACATTCAGTCAGCAAACAGTTTAAGGATCAGCATTCTAGTGAATCTTCAATGATACATAACCTGAATGAACGCAAGTTTGTACAAGTGCTAGAGTGGTGTAGGTGACTGCAAATATACAACTTCAACCTAAGGGCATAAACAGTACAAAAACAAATCAGTAACAAAGACTTTTGAACTTAAGTGCAAACACAACAATCCAAATCAATAAAAAAAAAAGAAGTAATTCAAAAGGCATTCAGTACAAAGTAAGCACAGAGAAAATAAGGTGTTTTCTTAGATAGTGTCTGAAGACACATGGGGCACTGTGGAGTGGAGACGGATGCTTGTTACACCACTGAGGTTCACTGAGATGTTAGTATGTTCTGACCCCAGAGAAGGGCATGCCAGGACATGTTAAACCCCATATAACTCAATTAAGTCCAGTGGCTTCTTGTCCAATAAATACCATAAGAACACTACATGGGATATAAAATAATGGCATTGCAGTACATACATAATCGTGTGTCTGTTTGAAATATACAACATGTAATATCACTTTTCACTTTAGTTTTTTTATACCCAATAATATAAATGTTATCTTATTGTTTTAAAAAGAATAATGTGCTCCATGAATGATGTGCGATATTTAGAGCCCCTTTCCTACATCAGGAGACATGAAGTCATTTGACCAGCAAGCTTAAGATACACAGACTTATGTTAGGTGATTAAAAGTAGAATGTATTTATTTATTATATTTAAATTTTTATCTTTAAAATCCAGCTGTGGTTCAGTTAAGCACTAAATATGGCCTAACATTGTAGTATAGATACACTGCAACAAATAGAGATGGATTTTTTATTTTTATTTTGGGGGGGGGATGATTTAAAGCTATAAATTAAATATGACCTTTAGTATACAGTGAGGTTCAAAAGTCTGAGACCGCGAATGAAAATGCTTCTGTTTGGCCTTCTTTTTCAATGTAACACAGGATTTCATTACAAGGGATTTTGTCAGCAACAACTTAAGTGCAAAGTAAAATCTTTTCATAAATATTTACATAAATGTCAGAGTTTGTTAGTACGTGGTATATCCTCTTTTTGACTTAATGACAGTGTGCACTCGAGCTGACACAGACTCCACAAGTTTGTGTAAAACCCGATGATCCATGTTAGATCAAATCCATCAGTGTGTCAACTGAACATGTGCTGCAAAGGGAAAGGATAAGAATCGTGGAAATTCTGACCTTTGTACAAAGGATTTACAGTGACACAAATATGCTTAAATTTAAATAGTGACCTAGAAATTATGCAGCATCCTGAATCCTGAATAGCCAAGATGATGCACAATTCCCTTTTATTTATTTATTTATTTATTTATTTATTTATTTTTTAGAATTGTCAAAATTCTAAAACTTTCTGTTTATTTGCAGTTGTTGTTTTTTTTTATCCCAGATTTTCAATATAGTCTCAGACTCTTGGACCCCACTGTATGTCAATATATGTAAGGAGGTTTACACCAAGACTTTTACTGTCCAAAAATGTGAAGCTCAGTATCTTAAAATCACAGAATTGTCAGATAACCTTATAATTCAAGATCCTTAAATAATGCCAGTACATAGCTATAACTATCATAATTCAGGACTATTGAGCGCACCTGAATATAAGCCGCACCCGCTAATTTTAAAAAGAAAAACAATTTAGTACATATATAGGCCGCGACTTGTTATCTAAAAGCTCAGTTTAACGTCACTTTTGTTGTAACGTATGATTAGGAATACAGTTATTAGGAATGCAGTTTGCTAAGAGCTTTTATTTGAAACAAGAACCATGACCAACTCAATGAACTAAGCTAACTAAAACAACTAACCTAAACATTAACTATGACATGAAACAAAGACTCTATATCTATACTCTATAAACCACTTCTACATCTATATTCTAAAATAAGTCTATACAACTCTAAGCTATACTATCCGCTACTAGGCTATAAGCTATGCTACAAGCTACTAGGCTACAGGCTAAGCTATAAGCTATGCTATAAGCTAACTAGCCTTGACATGAACGCAGACATGAACAAGAACTAAGACACATGGCATGAACAAAGACTCTAACTATATTCGCTATACAATTCTAACTCTATATCTAATTACCCATGTGTGTTTTTATCTTTATATACACACCCCGCCAACTGCTAACAGCTGCGGGCAATACCCAAACACGAACGTGACTCGACAACACCCCCCACGGGGGGAGGGCCGGAGAACATGATGTCAACCAATCTGCATTTCTTCGTGTGTTTTCCCTGATGAGGGGGTGTGCATGAAGCGCTAAACGACTGATCTGAAGAATGTAGTGTGAGCGCGTTAGATTTAATTCGAACAGTTTCATTGGTCCACTATCCATATATGGATTAATACACAGATATAGCCGAATATAGATCTGGAGATATGAGATCTCCCAAAGATGGAAGAATAAGGGGGGAAATGGCTTTTTATGACTTGACAGTAGTAAGGGAGACAGATGGAGTGTTCTGTCTCTGGACAGACAATGACACAGAACAGCTTGTGACCCTTTGCGTCTAGGTTCTGCATCCAGAAACAGAAATATAAAGACTGGCACTCTCTTCATATGATTTCCATAGGTATCACAGAGTTCATGGCTAGCAGCTAAAGTAGTGCTCCCCAGTGGAGTAGTGCTCCCCAGGCTTGTTTCATGTGAGCTGGTTCGCATTAATAATGCACACGGCCTGCGTTCCTCCTCACACCGGGGGAACCGCTGTCATTCGATAGATACCAGTGGTACCTACACCCCTGTGAAAACCATGATTGGCATTCCCACAGAGGAAAGAAGGCTCTGGAAATACTTTGCTTTCATTCCATTGCTTGTGAGGAGAGCGGTCAATCCCTTCCTTTTGTAGAGAGGATTTCCTTCCACGGCTCAAGTGGTTATTTATTTGAAAGGCAGGGGGAACTGACAGATGGATTCAGACTGAGATACCTTCATCTCCAGTTTTTTTTTTTCCCATTTATATTTATATCATAGACTCTTACATGTGTTATATTGGATGTCTGTAAATAGTGTCATTCCAATATAAAGTACTTGTATTTATATGAGTGTTTGGATTGGTAAACGTCAAGAAGTGAGAGAAAGCAAAAAGGCATGAAGGCTGTTCATTTAGAAGCAAATAATAGACCATTTGCATACATATGATCACTTCTTTCCAGACTGCTTACAGATGCAGCTTATTAGCATAGCAATAGCTATAAATGTAGTTGGATTTTGTTTAGTTGCCAGATCTTAATGACTGTCTTGAAACTTTGAAGTGCGTCATTCAGGAATGACAGGAAAATAACAGTTGGGTTTTTTTTTCTTCGTTTTTTGTTTGTTTCTTTTCATTTAAGATCCGAAATGTTTTGGAATCATGTTACTACACTATGTGGCCAAAAGTATGTGGACACCGGACAATCAAACCCTTATGTGCTTTTTGAAAATCCTAGATTCAAAAAGTGGTAAATGGTAAATGGTGCTTTTAGAACATCCAGATTTAGTTCCCCTTTGCTATTATAATAATCTCCACTCTTCTGTGAAGGCTTTCCACTAGTTTTTGGAATGTGTCTGTGTGGATTTTCCCATTTAGCCACAAGAGCATTAGTGAGTTCAGGAACTGATGTCAGGTGAGGAGCTCTGGGGCACAGTTTCAGTTCATCCCCAAGGTGTTCAGTGGGGTTGAGGTCAGGGCTCTGTGTAGGTCACGCAAGTTCTTCCAAACCAATCTTGTCACATCATGTCTTCACTGACTTTGCTTGTGCACAGGGCATTGTCATGCTGGAGCATGTTTGGAGCCCTTAGTTCCAGTGAAGGGAATTCCTACTGCTAGTGCATACAAAGAATTTCTTGACAATTTCATGCTTCTACAGTACATTTGTGACAGTGATGACAATGATGATGAGGTCTCCACATACTTTTGGCAATATAGTGAGTATTCCCATTTGATGCTGACCACTGACTGGCATCTTTAAATTTCTTATAGGCTACCAGTAATCCATATAAAAAATAACATCAGCAAGAGTTTTTTAAGGCCTTCCAACACTTAGTCAGGCCAAATCTGAAATTACTTTCTATTCCTGTATATAGTAGTCACTACATAAGGAATTACCTAATGGCTTTGTTGAACCTATGTAGTACAATAAAGTAATGGAATTTGAGATTCAGCCACAGAAAAACAGCTTCTAGTAGAGTTGTGGTTAAGCTGTTTTAACACTGTTTGGACTCATACTGATGTAATATCAAACAATATCACTGTTTGGATAATTTAATCATAATAAAAAGTGAAAATAAAGTCATTTATAAATGAAATGCAGTTATTTAACCAGTGCAATTAGGAAATGTGTGTTCAGATACACTTGGCATTTTCTCACTTTTTCGTCATCTATTATTTTGCCAAGTGTGAATAAAAGGAAAATGAATGCTTTTAGTTTGTTTGCAAGGGGCATGGTGGCGTAGTGGTTGGCACATTTGTATCGCACCTCCATGGTTGGGGATTCAATTCCCGCCTGTGCCCTGTGTGCGCTGAGTTTGCATGGTCTGCATGTTCTTGCAGTCTGTGGCTTGTTCACTAGTTAACAGTTTGCATCGAAAGAATGTCTACAAACCAAAATACACAGCATGTCTTTCAGGTCATGTTCTCACTGTACTGAAACTGTGCTAGGGTTTTCTTGAAAGCAAAGAGAGGCCATCAAGTGGACAGGTTATTTTAGTCCACACTTGTCATTTTTGCCTATAATAAGTATGTAAAATGTAAAAGTATTTGAACAGCAAAATTCTGGATGCTGTATACTACTGTATATGTGAGAGTTTTCCTGACTTTGCTAGTACAATCCCAGGACAAAAAAAAAGGCATTGAATTAATTTGCAGTTCAGTGTAGTGTGTGGAAATGCCTCTTTTCACTCACTGGTAGCTTAGAATTAGGACAGATGTTGAAGAAGGTCATCTTCCTCCCAAAGTATTTTAGGCGATCTGAAGAATTGGATCTGAGGCTGGTTAGTTGACAGATGACAAGTCTTTTGAGGGAAGACATATTTAACATCCCCTACTCAAGAGGGAGTGGAAACTAGACTGTGTCACGCTTTCATCGCTTGAGATCACTTTAGGTGAGCCAGTTAATTTGGTTCATCCTGTCCAGAACACAACACCCTGCAGACTGCTGCCTCAGCGCTGGGGCTTTTTTACCCATAGGCTGCTATTTAACAGCTGCTGTTTCAGGTTAGAGTTTTCTTTCTTCGTGTAATCATGAACTAAATGTTCATTATACTGTAGGAATACAGTAAGAACGTGCAAACATATCAATCATAGAAACCTGTCAAAATCGAAATGCTTTGGCTTGAGACTTTATTCAAGGAAGTAAAACCAAGCCCCACTCTGAGCGTTCTGTAAATATGAAACAGGTGGCTGGTCTGCTTTGTGTTTACCCAATGACTACATGGATACGTAGGCTAGCTAGCAACTTACCGCGGATTCAGATTGATTAATTGTTTGAGTGTTTTCCTTAAAGCACCCTGGCTTATGAGAATGAAGTGTTTTCATTCTAGTCATTATTCAGTTCTAGAAGTTAAATATAAACAGGAGTATTTGTGGTGCTTGTGACTCATAAATGCGCAACACAGGTATGCCTTCAGGTGAGATCAGTTTACACATGTGTAATTCTGTTTGCATTATTGATGATTTTGAAGCTGATTGCTACCTCACCAGTATTGACTTAGCCTATTGAGCATGGAAATCTTTTGAGTATAGTAAATAGAAGGAACTGAGCAAGGATAAATAGGAAATTAATGTCTAAAACTGTTTTGAAAAAAAAAAAAAAGACATTTATGTATTGAAGGAGTGATGGTGTGACACTCAGTTTGTACCATGCCAGCTTTTATAACATAGATCATAACTTCTTTCCCACATATGTCTCCAACATGGCTATGATCCTTTCACCTTCCCCTTGAGTTTTAAGTACATCTGCTGTCACACAAGCACCCCAGGCGATAAAGAGGTGGCATGCACGCACATACACACAGATACACGCACACACAAAGCCTGCCATGGACAGCCAAGCCTGCACGTGACTCAGCTTACCGTCAAACACAGTTGGGCATCCTGGCAGTCAGTCGCTTCGTTCTGTTCCTTCTCCACACACAGGCACATGCTAAAGAGTATAAGGGGTATAAGCAGTGAGGTAGCATTTTTAATCCGAGCGTCTTTGTGCCCAGGCCGGCAGGGGGACAGCAGATGTCCCTCACCTAAGTAGGTCGCGCTTTGTGCGGGACGTCTGTGTGGCAGCTATCTACAGCCATCTGGATGCTCCCTGTCACTGTCAGCTGTGTGAAATTCTGATTTCCTTGAGCAATAAAGGGACCTGTGAGGATGAGAGAGAGCACAAATGATGTGCGTTAAAATGCTTTCATAAGGCATTATACATATTGTAAAAATTTCTATAAATTTTTTTTAATACTGTAGCAATGTGTATAATCCATTATGTAAGGAATAAAACACAACAGGCCATGCTGTTAAAGAAAACTGATCCACATTGGGGTGGTGTGATACAGCCCGCATTATGAATTGTTTTCCTGTTATAGCTTATCCCGGAGAGTTTCATTCCTCTTTTATCACAGTGATTTGCAAACAATTGCAATTTGTAATCATTTCTTAATTAACTACACGTCACCCTTTTTAACCATTTATAGTTACAGCTATTTAATTGAATGTTCACAAGGCAAGTTAGTTCCTGTAATGTTATAGCAGCAGTCACTCCATCACCAGTCGTTTCATTTTTCTTCCTCTTTCTTTAAGTTAATAAGTTCATAATAAAATGCGATAAAAATGCAGCTTGTCAGGTTACTGAGAAACTGAAAAGCGCAAAGTCCTGTGGTGAAAAACTTTCTGACTGCTGCAAAGTGCTGACATTTGAGACTCCTTCCTTAACTTTACATAGAAGTCTCCTAGCAGAAACTTTAACAACAATTTTTCTTAATCCATTTATTACTTGGCTTAGACTATGTGGCGTCTTCACCATATAAGTCCCTGTGAATAAGCTGTCACTATAGAAAAGATAACTATAGCAGCACTGCCAGCTGCACAGCCTATCACAAATTTACATATTAACATGCTCATTCTAATACATTATTGTAGTTTATTATCCATAGTAACAGCTCGTGCATTGGGAATCATGTGGCAGACGCTCTACATAAACAGACCGGGGGAAATAAATGTGTGTAATTGTTGACACGGTGAAGTTTTCTGTGAGATGTCTACTTAGCATTTTTGGAAAAAGTCTCAGGTGTCAGCACTGTGACAATCCGAGGTAAAATTGTTTAAATTCTCCAACATACTGTAGGAAAGTGTTCCGGCTGGAGGGTTTTTGCGGTTTCTAAAAAAATTTTTTTAATGAACTTTACAAAAGAGACAAAAGGTAGGCTGGAGAGTGTAAAGTGATAACAGGAATAATGTTTTGTCAAATGTTCCACAACATTAAATGTAACTGGAACGAAAGTTCTTTAATCAATAATAAAAATAGTAATCATTGGCAAATTGCTGTGGCATAAGATGAATGAGATACTTCGGGGTGTTATGTTATTGATAAATAACCAACATGGTTTGTGTCAGGCCATATCAAACCAGCCTGTTGTTGATCATTTTTCCTATAACATCATGCTTTGTCATGTTTTATTCCTTACAAAACATAAGTAAGGTATAAGTAGTGTTCAAAACACTGTGTCCATCCTCAGGTGTTGAATGGTTGCCATTACTTCTGTTTATTATTGAGCACATGAACAATATTAATAACTATATAATAACAATAATGATTACAAGTATTAATAATAATGTGTAGTTTGTGGCTTGATAAACTCATGATAAATAAAATGCTATGGGTGTAATAAATAAAACTTTTTGGATTCAAAGCACGACAAATTCATGTTGGAAGTTATTACAGTGTTCAATAATCTGTACTCAAAAGTGATATGGATAAAGTTTATGTGGTGATGTTTGTTTAATATGCTACAATCTGTATTAAAAATGACTGAGTGATTAAGAACAGATAGGTCAGAGCTCAGCGGGTCTACATTTAAATAACGTGCACTGTGCAGATGAGGTCTATTTGGCATTGGTGATAGGACGTATCGTGAAAAATACGTATATACACTGGCATTGTTAATAAACACGGTTATAAAATGTATCATGAATAATTATAACGATGTGCATAATGGCAAAATGAATGTATCTTATGGATGTATTCCTATGTAAATATAGAATAGTGTAATTTTGAAAGTATTTTTATACAGACTCAGTGCATATTATAAGATTTACTGTATATGAGATAATGAAACCATGTAAAGATCTTAGAAAGCTCAAGGCCTTTATTACATGCTTTTTTAGATAAAGTTTCAAAGATAATTAAGCACAGTAGTGGCTCCGCTTTCGTCTCCAATTTCAACTGAAGCGTCTTTAAACATTTGCTGATGCTGATGATATTCTCAAAAAGCAAAGGAACAGTGAGTGTGCTTCACGGTCTCTGCCTCTGACATATTTAATTCATCTTTGGTGCTTTTCTTTAATTACAATGCTCCCAGAAGACTGAGCAGGGTAGTTAACTAGTTGAATAAGCATTAACGCAATTATTGGGTCAGAATGAATACAATTTCGTCATGTTTAATCATTAGGGGAGTCTATGCCTGGGAGAAAAAACATATTCTGCAAAAGTGAATTTGGAGAACTGGCACCGGATGGAGAGATATAGTGACACAGCTATTGTTTTAATTCAATTCAGTTTGATTTCTCTTGCCCTCTCAGTGCTCTTCAGCTGCATTGTAGGATACTCGCAGAGCCCAGGCTCCTTTCATGCTGTGTAACTATTAAACTGTTAAATCACCCAAATGATGCTGTTAAACACCATTTATAAACCTTTTATCGTTTTACTTCATGCTGTGGTTAGCTCTCTGGGGATGGTTAAAAAGCACTCAGGGGGAGTTCATCTGAGTTAAAGATGTAGGTATCACACTGTATGCATTAGGTTATAGAGAGCAAGTGTAATCACCTTCAGGAAATGAATAGTGTCTTATAGGCTCAAATCATGTTCTGGTTATTTCCTCAGCTTCAAATCGAGCTGGACCAGGAATACCAGGACAAGTTCCGACGACTCCCAGTGGAGATCCAAGAGTTTGTACAGGAAAGCGCTAAAGGCAAGCTAAGTAATGAATGGGACCCGAACTGCCTTAGCACCTCATCCACCGCCGAAAACCTGGACCACAAAGCAGGCCAGTCAGAGGAGGACGCAGATGAGGACTCTGCAGAGAAGGTGTTCGACACTCCTCTCTGATCTACACGCTGGGTTTCACATCAGCATATGTAAAGATTTTGTAACATCGATGTTCCTAGTGTTGCTTTTTCTTTGTGTTTGATCATTTGTACCAATCTGTAGGATTTTCTGACTTTAGTAACAAAGTTCTCTTTGCCATTCATTCTTTATGCAGATAGAGCTTTATAGTACTAAGGTAAGATGTGTTTGACAGAATGTTGAG